TCCTGGTTGGTGAATAACCAATAGTTTGGATCCAATCATTTAAATAAATGGTGTTAGTTTTTTTTATATGTATATATATATATATATATATATATATATATATATATATATATATATATATATATATATATATATATATATATATATATATATATATATATATATATATATATATATATATATATATATATATAAGAATTGTGCTATAATTTCTAGTCACCGATCTGTTGCTGCTATATTTTAATTTGACGAACCGCAAAAAATCGCTCGGCTCCGTAATTTGTCGGTGGACGTGGACGGAGACGTGCGGAGGAGTAGCGGTGGATGCTGAACAGCTCTCATTGATTTCCAAGAAAGATAAGCGCTCCGCACGACGTACGTCAGCGGGGCGGAGCGCTGACGGAGTATGTGGAATCTGGGGGTTATCAATGAAGGTCCTGAATCTGATTCCTGCTGAAAGTCTTTATTTATCTAGAAAGTTAATCTATACATGAAGGAGATGAATGTGTTACACAAACAGATCAAAGTGTGCAGGGTATAGTGGTGCAGAGGTCCAGTTAACCAGACCTGGATCAGAAGGTTATAGGATGAAATCCTGCTGATACTTATTGGATTTTAGCCACCATTATTATCACGGTTAATATAGAAACTGAGAGGTTAGATCTGCTAAGAGAACAGGCTGAAGTGTCATTGTGATTGGCTTTCAAATGAGACTTACTTATACTTCAAAACAGAAGTAAAACATTTATCACAGAATTGTATAAATCAAGAATTTTATGCAATTCTGGGTTTCTAATCTAAAGTATGTCAGAGCTTTTAAGAGGAAGGTGGCTCATCTGCCTTGGTAGCTCAGAGAGAAGAGATGCTGGCTTAGAGTTTAATGCATCCTGAGTTCAACTCCTGGTTTCTAACGACAGTAGAAGAAGAAACAAGAAGATAAATGCGCCCGGAGAAAAGTCCAAAGTGTGACAGGTGTCATAGCAGAGTGGGATTGTCTGTGACTGTAAGGCGCCAGTGGTGCAGAGTCTGAGTTCAATTCCATCTGTGGTTGATGTAGCCTGGAATTCCCACTGTGGTGGGTCATGGGAGGGGGCCGTGGCCCGTGTCCTGGCTGTGATCTGTGTTTCTGAGTGTGTTCATTATTATTCCCCCAATAAAGTAAGAATTTATGATTATCTAGAGACTATTAATAACCTGATTTGAAATGCAGCTCCAGAGGAGCTGAATGTGTGGTGATGTCATCAGTACGCTTCTGTTCCATTTGACCAAGATTTCCTCCTGGATTTTCCCCCCGGATCCAGACCTTCTAGACTGTACTCCTGTTTTTGTCAACTGAGAAACGGCCATATTAGATAAATCTGCAATTAACAACCATTATGAAGACTTCCATAGGACTTCACAATTGAAATTCTCCAGAGCTATAGTGAATACATAGGGTAAAAGGGTTATTTAAATTTTCCGATTCATGAAATTCAACATTATAACACCTAGAATCCCTATATATATAAAATCCAGATTGGTTTTTGGAGTGAAAATTGAAAACAAAAAGATAAATACGAGAAGAGGAGCGTAGAGAGACAGGGCCTGTGGTGTGGTTGGTAAGCCCATGGGCCTCAAATCCAACTACTGTCCTTTTCTAACTGTAGAAGAAACAAAAAGATATATCCACCTGTAGAGAAGTCCAACTGTCCAAAAATGTGGCATTGATGCTAAAACATTCACTCTAAAACTAGAAGTCATGGGTTCAAAATTCACTATTCTCCTTTTCTAACAACTGTAGAAGAAGAAACAAAACGATAAATGCGCCCGGAGAAAAGTCCAAATGTCCACAATGGTGGCATTGATGTTAAAGCCTTGACTTTAAAACTAGAAGATCATGGGTTCAAATCCCCCTGCTGTCTTTTTCCAGCAACTGTAGAAACAAAAAGATAAATGCGCCCGGAGAAAAGACCAAATGTCCACAATTGTGGCATTGATGTTAAAGCCTTGACTTTGAAACTAGAAGATAATGGGTTCAAATCCCACTATTATCTTTTCCCAACAATTGCAGAAGTAGAAACAAAAAGATAAATGCGCCCGGAGAAAAGTCCAAAGTGTGACAGGTGTCAAAGCAGAGTGGGATTGTCTGCGACTGTAAGGCGCCAGTGGTGCAGAGTCTGAGTTCAATTCCATCTGTGGTTGATGTAGCCTGGAACTACCCACTGCGGTGGGTCGGGGAAGGGGGCCGTGTCCCCTCCCTGTTTCCATGACAATAACTGGAGGGGGTTATACACCAGCAAACAATGTCTGACTAGAAATTTTAACAACAAAAAAATTCTAAGGTTAATTTTCTAAAATACTAACATTTGTCTTTCTTGACAAAACTTGAAATTGACCACTTGCATTATACTACAATAATAAGTTACATTAATTAAGAATTCATTAAGTTTCTTAATAAAGATTTCTTTCAGTATTGTTTTATTTGTACTCAAGTTGTCAAAAGTATAACAATACTTTAACTTGTATATGGTCATTACTGTATTTTAGAAACATAATCTTTCACTTAAGTCATGTAACTGGAGGCAGTAAAATGCCAAGGTTACATGTCTAAAACACCAACAACAGTAGTGCAATGAAGTAAATCTGTTCTTAAGTAATGTAGTAAATGGTCGTTTTGAGGTTTTGTTAAATAAAACTTCTGTTAGTATTTTACAAACATAACCTTGGAAGTTTTTTGACTGTCTTTAAAATTTCTAGTCAGATTTTGTTTGCTGATGTATAACCCCCTCCAGTTATTGTCATGGAAACAGGGAGGGGACACGGCCCCCTCCCCGACCCACCGCAGTGGGTAGTTCCAGGCTCCGTCAACCACAGATGGAATTGAACTCAGACTCTGCACCACTGGCGCCTTACGGTCGCAGACAATCCCACTCTGCTATGACACCTGTCACACTTTGGACTTTTCTCCGGGCGCATTTATCTTTTTGTTTCTACTTCTACAGTTGTTGGAAAAAGATAATAGTGGGATTTGAACCCATGAGTTTCTAGTTTTAAAGTCAAGGCTTTAACATCAATGCCACATTTGCGGACATTTGGACTTTTCTCCGGGCGCATTTATCTTTTTGTTTCTTCTTCTACAGTTGTTAGAAAAATATTAAGTTCACTTCTGAGGGATTTGAACTCATGAGCTTCTACTTTCAGAGCTGATGCTTTAACAATCACACCACAGGCCCTGTCACGCTTGAACCTCTTCTCGCGGTGGATTTATCTTTTTGATGACAACTTGCATTATACTACAACATGACTTATTAACAGATGTAACCCATCTTTATTACATTGATGCATATACAACAAACAAGTATACACTTTAGACAACTTTAACAGCTTTATCTGGACTGGAAAGTTCTTGCCAGAAAAATGGGACAATTTTTATTATTATTATTATTTATTATTAGGTTGTTTCTGTTTCTAAGCCAGCATCTCTTCTCTCTGAGCTACCAAGGCAGATGAACCACCTTCCTCCTAAAAGCTCTGACATACTTTTGATTAGAAACCCAGAATTGCATAAAAATCTTGATTTATACAATTCTGTGATAAATGTTTTCCAGGCACATTTATCTTTTTGTTTTCACTTTTACAGTGAATGAAAAAAGACTATACTTCTGTTTTGAAGTATAAGTAAGTCTCATTTGAAAGCCAATCACAATGACACTTCAGGCTGTTCTCTTAGCAGATCTAACCTCTCAGTTTCTACATTAACCTTGATAATAATGGTGGCTAAAATCCAATAAGTATCAGCAGGATTCGATCCTATAACCTTCTGATCCAGGTCTGGTTAACTGGACCTCTGCACCACTAGACCCTCCACACTTTGATCTGTTCATCTCCTTCATGTCTAGATTAATTTTGGAGATAAATTAAGGCTTTCAGCAGGAATCAGAGTGAGTTTCTATATAACTTGACAAGCCAATGCTTTAACAAAAACCAAAATCCTACGAAGTTTTGATCTTAGGAGCTTCAGGTCCAGGTCTGGTTGTCTACACCACTGGAGCCTCCATGCTTTGACTTGTTCTCATAGCAGATCTATCCTCTCAGTTTCTACATTGACTTTGAGAACAGATGAGTTCGATGTCAATATTGCTTTTTCCTTTTGTATTTCTATCACAAAAATGGCCTGGTTCTGCTGGAGGTTTCTTCCTGTTTAAAGGGAGTTTTTCCTCTCCACTGTCGCTACAAGCATGCTTAGTGTGAGGGATTGCTGAAGAGTCAATGAGTCGATGCAATCAGCTGGTTTTCCTTAGATAGAAAACTTTGAATCTGAATTTGACTTGATGATCTCAAGGCCCTTTAGAAAGTGCCCTGAGATGACGTGTGTTGTGAATTGGCGCTATAGAAATACTGCCTCGAATTCTGCAGCTTATTTGTGCACATTAATTATGTTTTTCATAAAAATCCTTCTGCTAAAATGCCTTCAGAACGCTGATAATATTAAGTGTCGCTCAAAAATGTACTTTGTTAAATCAACATTTAGTTTGCAAATTAAATATTAAATTTCTTAAATAAATATTTATTTGACAAAGTAAATATTTAGCTAGGTTGGTGGTAGTTAAATTTTTAGCTCCAAATAAATAACAAATAATATATGTCTATTCTATTAAAATTTCTCTATCTGGGTCCCAGAGAACAGACTTTAAACTATTCCAAATAAAGAAAATTAAAAGCAATTCACTTCATTTCCACATTTCAACAAACTAAATATTTAGCTTGTTAATTAATTATTTAGTTTGGAAAAAATATGTATTCAACAAACTAAATATAAATATTTAGCTCCAAACTAAATATTTAATTTGCAAATTAAATATTTAGTTTGACGCAAAATATGTATTTAACAAACTAATTATTTAATTTCTCTTAAAACTCACTAAATAACCATAAATATTGTTCCTAATGTTAGACAGCTTAACCTTCCTAACAATCTCCCTATAATAAACCCGCAGGTTGAATAATGAGGTGCAGAAAGCTACATCTTCCTGCCAGCAGGGGGCGGTGCAGCGGCGCTGCTCCAGGTGGATCTCCTGCTAACAATGGCTGCATCCTCGGAGTTACAGCTGGATCTCCTGCCTTCGGACCCGCTGCTCCACATCCTGTCTTACCTGAGCTTCAGAGACCTGGTCCAGTATGTGTTAGACTGCACACAGACAGCAGATAATTAGCAAAGCTTGTTTCCTAACTAGCTCTCTAACTACAACACGCTAGCAGCTAGTAGGGACTCGTTAGCCTGGCGCGGACCTGCTGTTGTTATTATGATTTCTACCGAAATAATGATGCATTAAATACTGTCAGCTGGTTACAAACTGCAGGCGCGGAGTAAAGACTTAAACTGATGGTTTTTAATTAAGCGCCGAGAAAAATAAATGACGTCAAACATAAAGATCTTGTTTACAGTTAGCTTTATGCTAACAGCTGCAGTTTGTTTACCTTTGGGATCTCACTAAGTGACCTAAACTAAACGCCTGATATTATTTAGTTTGAGGTTAAGGGGATGAATTAGTAAATCTGAAAGAATTTTTGTTATAAGAAGTAATTATTCTGCATATATTTCAGTTTAACTGCTGATCAGAAGTGAGAATAGATCTCTGGTTGGATGGATTTATGTGTAAAACTAGAATAAAACTTCCTGCAGAGACATCTGTGTTCAAAGGAGATTTGTTTACATTTTTAAGCTGCTGTTATACAACTCTGTTATTTTAACAGGATAAGGACTAAAGCACCAGGAAGTAAAGAACAATCAGGAACATCTGCTCCACTAAAACTCACTTTATAAAGACAAGAATCAATAATAACACAGTTTGTAACAAAAGTAGTTATCGGCTTGGATATTTTTTATTTAGTAAAAGTGGGTAGTTTTACTAGTTTAGTTTTAGTTCCACCATCTAATGGAGGTTTGCCGATTTATTAGATCAATATGAAATTTTTATTTTGTCAAGTAGTTCAAGCGCTATTATTAACCACGGAGTGTTAGGGCCAGATTACAGACTTTCAATGTTTTTATTTTGAGGATAAAGTCATAACAAGAATAAAGTAGTGACGTTACAAGAATAAAGTCATATAACGAGAATTAAGTTGTAACCTTACAAGAATAAGTCGTAATATTAGATCAATATGAAGTTTTTAATTTTGTCAAGTAGTCCAAGCGCTATTATTTGCCACAGTTTTAGGGCCAGGCTAGACATTTGAAATGTTTTTATTAGGGAGTAAAGTCGTAACTTAAAGAGACTACAGTCGTAACATTAAGAGAATAAAGTCGTAACAATACGAGAATAAAGTAATCATACCACAACCCTTTTCAGAAAGGAAGCTTGGAGCTCCGCCCAGCAGATGAGGGCTGACCAGCTCCACCAATCAGCAACCAGAGTCCACTGTGACATCCTTGTTTCTCATAATTTTAGGACTTTATTCTCATAATTTTGTGACTATTCTCGTTGGCTTTTTTTCTCGTAAATTTACGACGTTATTCTCGTAATGTTACAACTTTACAACTCATTATTTTATGACTCTAGCCTGGCCCTAATCCTCTGTATTACGTATAATAATATGAGAATAAAGTCAAATCTTGTTCTTACCAGAACCTTTGTCTTCCACAAATGAGGAAAAATTACGTCTTTTAGCCTCAAATTATTATCAGTATCAGAACTTGGAAACAATTGTTCAAACAACAATGAGCTGGAATCTTTCTTTCTGAAACAGGTTTCTGTATGATGACTTCATTCTCGTAATATTTCATCTTTATTCTCATAATGTTATGACTTTATTCTTGTATTTAAAAATAAAAAACACTCCATCGTAAAGTACAAATCCAGGATGGAAAATTTCTCTTAATCTTTTTGTTGTTTTCAGGCTGATGATCTATTTGTGGTAGAAATAGATTTTCCAGAGTGTTGTTATTTAAACACTGACTGAAACATTTTAGTTTTTGAAGCTTTTGTAATCAGAAAAATTGGTAAAAGTTGCCATTTTAAGCTTATTACCATTTAAAATGGTCGAACCTCCTTTGATATTTTTCTCAAATCTTCAGGTAAATAAATATTTGTATCTCAATTTTTTTTATATTGTTTTTCTTGGATTTATCTGTGAAATGATGTGATTTTCTTTTGCTAATCTGAGCTATGGATTATTTTACATGCTAGCATTATTATTGAGTTTATAAACATGTAAATGTCAGCTGTTCTTCAGACCTACCTTGAAGGTGCAGTTTTGTGGCTAACTCCACCCTCTGCTTTGCAGCTGCAGCTACGTCAGTAAGCGGCTCAATGAGCTGTCCAAACACAACCCACTGTGGAAACGTCACTGCTGCAAACACTGGCTGCTGACAGAGTGAGTCTGCTTTCATTTACCCTCAACCATAACGGACAGTGTCGATGTCATAAATATAGATTGGGTAAAAATTAGATTGGTTGGTTTAACCAAAAGATTGGTTGAACACAACTTCCATCACTAGCGGCCCGCGGCCTGTGTGTGTTTGCATGTGCAGCGCGGACCGGTTGCAGCGCGGCCTGTCCTGGTACGGCCTCTTCAAGCATTACTACTCGGACCTGGGTCGCTACATTCAGCACTACGCGGTGCTGAAGAAAGCCTGGGAGCAGCTGAAGAGCTTCCTGCAGCAGCGATGTCCTCGGATGATCGTTTCACTCAAAGGTAACAGATCCCAGATGCTGCTGCGTCCATCACTGAGGTTGAACTTTTCTTCATATTTCTATGTTTTCATCCTCAGATGGCGCCACAGAGGGGGAACTGGACGAAATAGAGGCTCAGATCGGCTGTAAGCTTCCCGACGATTACCGCTGCTCCTACCGGATCCATAACGGCCAGAAGCTGGTGATCCCGGGGTCAGTATCCACGCAGAGTCCACCCCTCCCTCCCCTGTCTGACACCCCAGTCTAACCAGCCCGTCTCTGGGTTCGTCAGGCTGATGGGCAGCATGTCGCTCTCCAACCATTACCGCTCTGAGGTCCTGCTGGACGTGGAGACGGCGGCCGGAGGCTTCCAGCACAGGAAAGGAATGAGGCGCTCCCTGCCGCTCACCTTCTGCTTCCACACCGGCCTCAGCCAGTACGTGGCGCTGGAGGACGCCGAGGGACGCAAGAAAGGAGAGAGCTTCTACCCGTGCCCTGTGTGTGCACTTCCTGTTCGCCTTCCTTTCAGAATAAAATGTCTGATTCGGACTGTGACTGTTTTATTTCTCTCTGTTCAACAGGATCAGACGGCTCAGGATCCCTCCGCCATCGACATGTTCATCACAGGTTAGTTTTCGTTTACGTTCTGCAGCTGGTTGAACTGATGCTCTAAATGCTTCAGGAGTTTTACGATCATTTATTGTCGTGATGTTACGTCTTTATTCTCGTAATGTTACTTTATTCTCTGAATTTTATGATTTTTTTTGCACAATGTTACAACTTTATTCTCGTAATTCTGCGACTTTATGCTCGTAATGTTACGACTTTATTTTCGTAATCTTACACGACTTAATGCTTGGTATGTTACGACTTTATTTTCGGTATGTTACGACTTTATTCTCGTAATCTTACACGACTTAATGCTTGGTATGTTACGACTTTATTTTCGGTATGTTACGACTTTATTCTCGTAATCTTACACGACTTAATGCTTGGTATGTTACGACTTTATTTTCGGTATGTTACGACTTTATTCTCGTAATCTTACACGACTTAATGCTTGGTATGTTACGACTTTATTTTCGGTATGTTACGACTTTATTCTCGTAATTCTGCGACTTTATGCTCATAATGTTACGACTTTAGTTTCGTAATCTTACACAACTTAATGCTTGGTATGTTACGACTTTATTTTCGGTATGTTACAACTTTATTCTCGTAATCTTCCACGACTTAATGCTTGGTATGTTACGACTTTATTTTCGGTATGTTACGACTTTATTCTCGTAATCTTACATGACTTAATGCTTGGTATGTTACGACTTTATTTTCGGTATGTTACGACTTTATTCTCGTAATTCTGCGACTTTATGCTTATAATGTTACGACTTTAGTTTCGTAATCTTACACAACTTAATGCTTGGTATGTTACGACTTTATTCTCGTAATCTTACATGACTTAATGCTTGGTATGTTACGACTTTATTTTCGGTATGTTACGACTTTATTCTCGTAATTCTGCGACTTTATGCTTATAATGTTACGACTTTAGTTTCGTAATCTTACACAACTTAATGCTTGGTATGTTACGACTTTATTCTCGTAATCTTACATGACTTAATGCTTGGTATGTTACGACTTTATTTTCGGTATTTTACTACATTATACTCGTAATTCTGCGACTTTATGCTTGTAATGTTACAACTTTATTTTCGTAATCTTACACGACTTTATGTTCGGTATGTTACGACTTTATTCTCGTAATTCTGCGACTTTATGCTCGTAATGTTACGATTTTATTTTCGTAATCTTACACGACTTAATGCTTGGTATGTTACGACTTTATTTTCGGTATGTTACGACTTTATTCTCGTAATCTTACACGACTTAATGCTTGGTATGTTACGACTTTATTTTCGGTATGTTACGACTTTAAAAAAAATCTCTAGCCTGGCACCAATACTCCGACGTTATTATTAGAGCCAGGCTAGCAATCTTTTTTTTGAACAACTATGAGCTGGAAGCTTTCTTTCTGAAACAGGTTGCGCTATGATGACTTCATTGTCATAATGTTACGACCTAATGCTTGTAATTTTATGACTTTATCCTCATATTTAAAAATAAAAAATCTCTAGCTTGGCCCTAATGCTCCGTTACGCTGATCTGCGTTTTCAGGCTCCAGCTTCTTGGACTGGTTCAGCACCTACGTCAACAACGTGGTTACAGGAGAATATCCCATCATCAAAGACCAGATCTTCAGGTCCGTCCGACTCTGGAGCCTCACGGCTGAAGGTTTGTTTGAATTAAACCCAGCACTGTGTCTGCAGGTACACGCACGAGAAAGGCTGCGTGGCGACCACCGGCGACATCACCGTCTCCGTCTCTACCTCCTTTCTCCCGGAGCTGTCGTCCGTCCACCCGCCGCACTTCTTCTTCACTTACCGCATCAGGTACAGCTCCACCACACAGACCCGGTCCGGTGACGCGGCGCCGTAACGGCTTTAAAAAAAATCTGTTTGCAGGATAGAAATGTCCAGAAGCGCCTCCACTAAGGCCACCTGTCAGCTGGACAGCCGTTACTGGAAAATCACCACTTCCGATGGAAACGTGGAGGAGGTTCAGGGTCCTGGCGTGGTCGGTACGTCACACGCTCCTCCATCTTGGTTCTGATTGGGCCGTACGAGGTGCTGATCTCCCCGTTTCTCTGCAGGAGAGTTCCCGGTCATGACGCCCGGAAAGGTGCACGAGTACGCCAGCTGCACCACCTTCTCCACGCCGTCAGAGTTCATGGAGGGTCACTACACCTTCCACAGGCTAGGTGGCGCCACTTCTCCTCCTTCAGCAAACTGACTTCCTGTTTGTGATTGATTGCTTGATGGGTTTCTTGTCTTCTAGCCAACAAGGAAGAGGTTTTCCAGGTGGCCATCCCTCGCTTCCACATGGTCTGTCCTCCTTACAGAGAGCCGGCGTCTAGGACGGTGAGAAACGACTTGGACCTGCTTTCCTCTCACAGCTTTGAACCCAACGTTAAAGCGCTTCTCGTTTTTTTTCCCGTGCAACAAAAGGCTTCGACCAGCCACACGACTCCCTACGACGACGGGGAAGACGGCGACGGCGGGGATCAAGGCAGAGGAAGGTTAGGAGGTCTGAGAGGCATCAGCGCCTCCGCCCTGGAGGGCTCCCGGTGCCCCCGCTTCACCTGACCTCCAGACGTAGAGCCATGAACTCAAACTGAATCACTTGAACTTCCAGTTGCCAAATACCACGTGGGTGCGGCGCTTTCAGGAAAAGCTTCTTGGTTCCTTTTAGATTTTTGTGAAGAAGAGCTGCAGAGATTCATCATCTCACGTCATAGATCGTCTAAAACATCTTTATTCCTGATCCAGACAACATTCCTGAAGCTAAAGCTCTAGGATCAACTATAAAACACTTTCAAGCTTCTGTGTTGGCTTTGAAAACAGCTAATCTGATCCAAGTCTGGTGATGTGGGTCTGTCGCCATCTAGTTGACAAACCTGGTATTACACTTTTTTTTTTTTGAGCTAAGAATTTGTTTTCCAGATGCTGCATTTTGATAAGGATTGATGCTTTTTTTTGTTACAGGAGTTGAAAAAATATAAGTAAATAATTTCTAGGTGGGGAATACAGATTATATTGAGTCTTTTTTTTTAAATATAAATGTTGTAGGATGTAAGATGAGGCCAGCGTGATGATTTTGATGAACTTTTGGGTTTGAAGGTTGCTGGTTTCTATAAAGCTCTGTTTTTTTTTTTTTTGCAGATTTTTTCTATGTTTGGGTTCAATAAAATCTTTTCAAAGATCTGTTCATATTTTTCTGCTCTCCAGTTAAAGTTAAAAAGGTCCCGTTAAACTGGTTAATCATCGTCCTCATCCTCCAGCTCTTCCTCTTCCACCGGCATCCCTAAGCTCCTGCGCCTTCTCGTCCCCCTCGTCTCCTTCCTGTCTTCCTGCTCCTCCTCCATCTCCTCCTCCAGCTCCCCTCTTCCTCCCCCTCCCGCCGGCTGGCCCACCTCCCCTTCGCGGGCATTGCAGCGGCTGCAGTGCCTCCTGAAGCCTCCCAGGTACTCGGAGCGGAAGCAGCAGAAGGGGCAGGCGTAGCGTCCGGGTCGGTGGACGGTGCGGACGTGCTGCTGCAGCCGGCTGGGCAGGAAGAAGGTTTGGGAGCAGTCCTTGCAGCTGTAGGGACGCTCCAAGTCGTGGTAGCGCTCCAGGTGCGTGAGGACGAACCCTGCAGAGACCAGCAGAACCTTAAAGCTGCACTGAAGCAGAAACGTTTGCTGTTCATACCAGAGATTACATTTCGTTTAATAAAGAAATCTAAAAATGGGATTTATTTTTATTTAGGTGGGTAGCAAACAAATATGGGGCGCCGTTTGTAAAGTAAAGCAGTCAAACATTAGGAGCAATATTTATGGTTATTTAGCGCGTTTTAGGAGAAAAATGGGACTTCAAACCAAAAAAAAGCAATTTTCTGTTTTGTTTTATTCTTGGATCGGGCTTTAAAGAGTTAAGTTAAAAAGGTCACGACCTGTTTAAACTGATCAATCATCAGAATAGTTAGAATGGTTATTTAAAAAACACGACAAAATCCTTCGTCATCTTTACCGTCGGCAGACTGCAGCCGTGTCCCGAATTCCTCATTTTCCAGCTACTTTTGTTGGAATTAGCATTTTCCCCATTCTGGAGCTTTTCAGCATTTTTAACTTAAGTAGAAGTATAAGGCTACTGCAGTTTAAAAACAAAAAAGTACGGCATCAAAACACTTCTAATATTGGGTGTGTCTTAATATTAGAAGTCTGCCATATTGGATCAGTCAATTTCTTCCAAAAACTACGTAAACAAATTCAGGCCATTTACTATATGAATATTAAAGCTCCCTTTTTCGACTATTTCTATAAATTCTCTGAGATAGGGCCAAGGATGAGGGAGGTCTTGTTGGTCTCCGTCTCCCGATACGCTCTCGCCTGTGTCCGACCTTTCAGACATTTCAACATCTTTTTCTGAATCCCACATTGTAGCATGGCATAGACAATTCACGTTAGCAGTTTGAAGAACACCTGCTTGCTTCTGATGATTTCCTTTAGCTAACCAATGAGTGTTTGCCTTCTATGACTCATCCAATCACACTAGTTTTCACTAGATGTGGGTGGAGCCAATGATCTGCATTGGATGGAGCACATGACGGGAAATAAAGATTTAGAAACATTAAACCGAAGCCAACAGTAACGAGTAACGTTTGATTTAGAAATGTAAGGAATAGAAAGTACAGATACTTGTGTGAAAATGTTATCAAAAGAATTGAGAAGTAGGAAGAAAAATAAGTAATGGAGTAAAGTATAGATGCCTAAAAAGTGTACTTAAGTAAAGTATCAAAGTATTTGTACTTTGTAACTTCGCGCAGAACCAGTTATATCTGATATACTAAATATCTGACGAAATTGTTTTTATACAGTTTTTTTTTTCCAAATAAAGCATTTTAAATGCCGCGATCATATTTAATAACTTTTTTTGCCAATTGAGGCCTTCATAAAAAAAATTCTCATGATTTTAATTATTTTTAATGACGCACAGAAACCCTGAATTGAATCTTAAAGTCGTAGAGAAGCGGCCGTTCCAACCGTTGCATTTCTGAATTCTCCCGATTGGTGTCCGACTTTACACTAGTGAATAAAGTGAATGTGACCTTTCAATTCTGAACATAATTGAAAGGTCACCAGACCGGACTCTTCCTTTTAATTTAAAATGATTTTAGTTTAGATTCATGTCCGTGATCCGCTTTTATTCTACAAAATTAAGCAGCTGAATGAATGTCCTTTGAGGCCGGTGATTCCGGCCGCTTATTTAAAGCAGCAGGTACTAAAGTGCTAAACGGATGATTGGTGAGAATAAAAACATTTTTAAGCAAAAGAAAAAACTTTGAACGTCACTGCTGTCGCTCAAAGTTGTGGACCAGCCCTGTTTTTATTGAAACGGTCTGAAGTCTCTTACTGCACCTTTCAGTTTGCTCCTCCAGTTGCAGACCAGGCAGACGAAGCGGTGGGAGACGAAGCCCACCCACTTTTCCGTCGCCTTCTTCTCCTCCATCAACAGCTCGTCGCTCAGCCCCCCCCCCTCCTCCTCCTCGGCCACGCCCAGCTGCACCTCCCGGCTCTTGGTCAGGGCGTGGGTGGCGTAGGTTTTGGGGATCTCGTGTTTGCGCACGATGTGGCTGACGGAGACCGACTTCTGCTTGTGGCTCCAGCCGCAGATCTTGCAGTGGAACAGGACGCCGTCGTACATCAGGACGCACTTCTTCTCTTCATCTGTGGGGGTCCCTCCCGCAAGAGCCCCACTCTGCTTCTCCTCCTCTTCATCACCTTCACCGCTCCTTACTCCTTCGGGGCCGCCCGTCTCTCCCTCTTTCCCTTCTTTCTCTCCATCTTCCTCCTTCCCATCATCCTCGCAGCTTTTTTTACTTTCAGGAGCATCCTCATCCTCCTCTTCCTCATGGCTCCTCCTCCTTTTCGGACTCCTAATGTTTTGGTTTTCTTCCAGATCTTTCTTCTCTCCATTCTCTTCCTTCACCTCCACCTTAATGCTCAGCTTGTTTTTACACTCATTCTTCTCGTCCTTCTCTTCTCCGCTTCCCTTCCCTTCAGGAGCCTCCTCTTCTCCCTCCTCGCCTCCTCCTCCTCCTCCCCCCTCCCTATCCACCATGCAGTGACGGGAGATGATGTGCTTGTAGACTTTGGTGAAGTCACGGCTGGTGTGGAAGCACTCCGAGCAGTGGAAGAGCCGCGCGCTGCTCTGGTACATCAGGATGTTGCCCAGGCGGCCCACCGCCACGTCGTCCAGGCAGGCGGGGTGGGACGCCGCCAGGTGAGACAGCTGCTGGGCGTGGCTCTTGGACAGGTGGCCGCAGTGGGAGCAGCGGAGGTGGGCGGCTACCCCTCCGCCTGCTTCCCCTCTAGTGTGGATGAGGACGGACATCGGTGCTGGGAGACATCAGAAGGAGGTTATTCATCTGGTCTGAGCAAACAGATAAAAACATCTATTTAGTCTATTTCTATCTATGTGTTTTTGATGCTGATGGGCTGAAATTTCCGACTAATTGAGTGATTGACTTAATTGATCTCACAGTGGAGAAATTTACTTGTTCCATCAGCTCAAAATAGTCAAAGAAGAAGAAGTTTGCCAAAGGAAGAAAAAGGTGCTTGAGATATATGACAGCTTTATCATTATACATCATTTATACAGAGTGTGTTTACAGTGGTATATATATATATATATAGTTATTGCACCGGACGTCAAATATAGAGAAACAGTTATTGCACAGGGTATCAAATGATAAAATGCTAATTAAATTATACATTGCACAATAAAGAATTATTTTTCACTATTTCAAATGTGTTGGATAATGTTTTTTTTTATAATAAATGTCCAATAAAGTTTAATTAGGGCTTTTATCAGGACTTTATTACCTTTAGATTCACAATTTCTTCCTGTTTATTTTAATTTATCCTTAATGGAGAACATTGTTAGCATTAACGGTCTCAGTTCATAAATGCATTTTTTTTCAGTTCGCAGATGCAAAAGTATGACACATTAATTTATCATTTTGTATTTAAAATGCTAAATCAGAAGGTTAACGCTGCAAGTTCAGCTCCTCAGTCTGTCTTTGTTTTATTCCCAGATGGCTGCAGTGTAATAACGGTGCAGCTAGCTTAGCTTAGCTAACATGCTTTAAAAGCATCCTTTTAAACTCCGTTTCTTACCCACCTATTTAAGCCGCTGCCTGCCGCTTGACCCTGCCGACCCACCGTAGTCGAAACGGGACTTGAAAGCAGAGTAGATAAATGTTTTGAAGGGATTTTAAATGTAAATATTTGCTATGGGCCGAGCAGAAGGCTGTTACTGCGCTTCCGTGTTTACCCGCGGCGCAGCCAATCACAGCGCAGAGTTTCTATCTCGCGAGATCTCCGATTGGGGCGCGATAATTAGGCAAATCATTGTTCATACGCCAGCTGTTTTCGCCTTTATTATCAGTTTATTATCGAATATTGTTTATTTTTTTAAAAGTTAATGTAAAGTTAACAAAATTGTAAGTTTTTACATAAAAAAATCTAAATCCGTGTAAGTTAATTAGGCTCACGTACAGGGGCGGATATAGGAAATGTGGGGCCCTAGTCAAAGACAGGCAGGGGGCCCTCTGAAATGAGAACACATAAAACAGATCCATTCTCCAGATAGAGAAATGTTAATAGAATAGACATCCATTATCTGTTCTAGGTTGTGTCCCTGTCTTCTTGTCCCTTTTCTTCTTGTTTTCCTCTCTATGTTTTGTACTCAGCTGACTTTTCATGCTGTCTCTAAAGGAATGAAAGATTTTTTCCAAGCACTAAGCTCACTTAGCTGATTGCTCCTTCCTGTGTTTCCAAAAAGGCCAAAGTAAATAACCCAGTCCTTCTTTTCACTGTAGACAAGCCATGATCTGCTTATCTGTTCTCCATTTTTCATTTGGATGAAATAATAGCTGCATGAATCATGACAGCAGACAAGATAGAGGAGAGCAGGAGGCGGGGTTACCAATCTACTCGCTCTGGAGAGCAGAGTTCGCTGCTTTTAGATGTTGTCTCCAAAGTCTCCAGTAGCAGTAAAAAGACGCCAGATCTGGCGCTAGGAGCTTTTTAGAAATCAAAGTGCTAGAGGGGTCTGAAAAGTCATCGTTTGTATTCAAATGGTTTGCTGCTGTCTGTTTGGAGCTTTCTGAACATGTGCAGCAAATGGACTGATCCAATATGGTGGACGGCATAGCAATTTAGCAAAAGGATTTTAATCAAAAACATAATTAGTGTGCATACATAAGGAATAGTTGTATTACCCAAATAGTTTTGCAACAATAGTTCTGGACCATTTAGAGCAAAACTGAGAATGAGATTGATTTTTGATGTGCAACTTCTAGAACAGAATTTGTGTACTCGTAATGAAGAATATGAACAGGTGTAAAAATAAATTGTACTTGTGATTTTTTTTTTGTACAAAAACAAAACTTAGAATGGAGCTCTCTCTACAACATCAAATTCACACTTCCAATGCACGAATAGTTAGCCCCAAATTCCTGGCCTGATTACATCATTAAAGGGAATCAGAGATGAGGCTTCACTGGCCAGGAAGCAGCTGCTGCAGGCTTTTATTGTGAAGGAATAGAGGAGGGAGACAGAGCAGAGCAGAGGGAGGACTCAGATTTGAACTTGTGTTTTTTTATTCTGTCTTTGCTTGGATTCCCATCCACTTCCACGAACACAGGGAGGGGAAACATGCTCTGCTTGAAAGGTAGGAGAACATCTCTCAGAGGGTTTCTGTGTTTAATCATCTGTAAAACAGTCCAACGCTGCTGGAGAACAGATAAGAGGTTTGATGGAGGGAACAAACTGCTGATGAGCTGCAGCGTGTTTCAGATTACAGCTGTTTTGACCACCGTTGCCATGGTTACTGCTATGATGCTGTCCCGTCTCTGCTGCAGCGGCTGGGGTGGCGGCTGTATACCTGTGGGAGTGGGTGGTTTGTGGCGGTCTGTGGGTCAGGAGGTGTGTGCATTCCTCTCCTTGCTGCGTTTGTTTTGTGTTTAATGAGCAGCGGCCTGTTGAGGCAGGCTGAAACATCCCAGTCAGCCTCTCCAACACATCTGTAGCAGCTGCAGCCGACAGAATAAAAACTACTTTGGTAACATCCTCCATGTTTTCCTTTATCCAACCTGAAGGTTGCTTTTATCCCCCTGAGCCGTTTTATTTAATTCAGGCTTTTGCAGGAATTGTTCTGTTTCATTTTGTTCTTTTGGATCTGTCTAGACTTTAGTTGTTCTTTGTAGTTTCTGTTTCTTCTGCAGGATCCATTTTCTTTGCAAACTATTTAGTTTTCTGCTCCTAATGTGAACACTTTGGGTTTTATCTTTTCTCCTTCAGTTAGTGAAAGCATTTGACCCCCCCTAGGAAGCATCGCACTTCTTTTGGACTTGTTTTAAATCATTGCTAATGTTTCTCTTTTCTCTTTTTTATCCTTATTTCTGGTTCTATTTTATCTTCCTTTCCAAAGTTTTTATCTTTATTGTATTTTTGGCTAAATGTTTATTTGTAGATTCTTTTCTGCATATTATCTTTTTTAATGATCTTTTTTCTCCCCTGAGGCTGTATATTTTGCAGTTCTACTATTTTACAGTCGAGCAAACCTGCATATCATCTCAATGCATTTTATAAGAAGAAACAAATCCACGTAATCTCTCTATTGCTCAGTTGAAATTAGCCAAATAATTACACCAAATCGAGCAGCAGCAACTAGAGCCAAAAAATGGCATGTGGTATATGCCTGTTCCCAACTGGCATATGCCTTGGGCTGCAACTAACAATTATTTTACAAATCCATTATTTTTTTCCATTACTCGATTAATAATCGGATAGACAAAGGTTCCTTAAAGAGTTTTTTTTTTTTTTTTTTTACAAAACTGATCCAGGTGAAACTGAAGCTTTTTCACTTGATGCGTTTTAGATAGAACAATCAATGGACTAAAACTTTTTTTTTTTTTACAATTTTGATAAAATGATTGCTCTAAGTGGGTCTAAGTGGGGTTTTAGAGTCTCTATACTCCAGTTGACAATTAATTGATTACTAAATTAGTTGACCATCATTTCAATAATCGATTAATCACAATTAATCTGATCAATAGTTTCAGGCCGACATATGCCGGTTACCAACTGGCATATGCCATTTTTCACAACTGGGATGCCAGATTAACCTGACTCCGCCAGATGGATTTGCTCCGTATATCCATCTGGAAACCTTCCGTAGAAGTAATTTTGGGAAGGGGTGAAAATACTGGTTAGCTGATTGGCCTATGTTGGTGATAGACGGGCCAAATAAACCAATCAGATCAACGAAGCATATGGCGTACTAACAGAGCGACGACGAAGAGGAGCCAATTGATCGATCAAACTCTTGCTGAAACCAGTCGGGAGAAGAGCAAAAACATCTTTTCCTCTGAGAAAAGCCTCCAGAGCAGTGTTTTGCTCTTCTTTCAGTGAAGAAATACTCTGTAATTCCGATAAAACTTGCTCGATAGCCACGCTAACGCTAGTTTAATCGGCTGAAGCCGCCATGTTCTTTAGACTGAACTGTCGCGCTTCTCGTTGCGTCACACCTCAACCCGCCTCAAAGCCAACGCTGATTGGACGTTCGTTTGGTGAACGGCTCCAAATTTTCTTCAACGGAGAGTCTCCAGACTGATCTGCAAGTGAAACCTTGAAAGCTTGCGAGATCAGGATGGTCTCATGAGGCTAATGCCAGATACCAGCTTTGGCTCTCATTGTCACTCAAATCAAGAGTCCAACTCAGCTGGATTATATTTAAACCTTCATCCTGTTACTCCAAAGTTATCAAAGGAAGGCCTCAGTCTGAGCAAGCATGGGGCGACAGTGGGAAGCATAGCACTCTATAACGGAGAGAAAGGTCCAGAAGAACCAGAACTCGGCTCATTACAGAACCTTATCTGCCGGGACCCACCAAATGATGAGGTCAGAATGAAAATCCAATCACAGGGAGAGATATTTAATGTGGGAAAGACAAACAGCAATAATATCAGTCATAATTTGAGCTAAATGTGGAAACCTTTAGATCAGTTTCTTTTAAAGAAGAACAGAAATCCCACTTTTTCTAACCTGATTTGGTGTTTTCAGTGTTTCACTATGTTTTAGCCCTAAATTGAGCCTTTCGCTGGTTTTTCCTTGAGGTTTAGGTAAATCCTGCTGTCCAGTGGTCAGTTCCAGTTATCAGGAATCTTTCTGAGACTGAACAGAAAAGGAAAAGACATCTTCAGCTCAGCATCAGTTTGTTAGAGTCCAACGTTCCGTTTCTGTTTCACTTTATAAAGTTAAAATGCTTCTGTCCATCTTACCAGAAGACTGTAGGAAGTTTTAGTGTAATTTAATGTATATTATAATCTTATCTGACAGAACATCTTTCTCTAAAATAATAATGTTCAAACTGAGTGGAATAAAAGCTCCTTTAATCTATTAGATTTTAAATTGCCTTCAGCAGAAGGTCGATCGTTGCAGCCCAGCCGCTCCTCAGAACCAGGGGCAGAGCTGACTAAGCAGGAGCAGCAGGAGGTTCCTGCGGGTCAGGTGATCCAATCAGCTATTAATCAGATCACTGTGACCAGCCATCAAACAGGACTGTCCTCTGTTTCCTCTCTCTGAGGCTCCTGTTTTGGCTCAGAGAAGATTTAACGCTCTCCAGGCGAGGCGTCTTTCACCTGTCTGCAGCTGCAGTGCGTCTGTCATTAAACCAGCCCTGTCACAGGTCCGCTCCTGATGGATCCTCCTGCAGCTGCAAGATCAGGAGATCATTTAGGACATGATCAGGTTGTTCATTTAGACTTTTCTCTTTCTGGACATTCAGCTGCAGAATTAGTCATATGTAGGATAATTAAGGTGTCTCTGTTGTGCTTTTTGGTTCCTTTTAAATCATCTTTTGGCGCCAACAGAGCAGTAATTTCATTAAACTGAAACATTATTTCAGTTTAATATGGAAAAAAATCTCAGAATTCTGACTTTAACCTATTAACATCCACCTCAATTTGGATAATCCTCGCCTAGTTTGCAAATAACTTATGAACTGTAAGCCCAAATTACATGTGCAATACGTTATTTGAAAGCTAACACACTCTAGTTTCCTAATATGTAAAAATTGGATGAATAAAACACAGACCAACCTGCATCAGTTCAAACATTACTCAAAGTTGTTGTTTTATTCTCGGAAATGATAGGTCTTTTTTGAACAGCAGTAATAAAGATATTCTTTTGTTCTACATCATGTCAACCACAAAATTTTAGACCTCTAGCTCTAACAGTTCTAGAGCTGTGGAGTCTGGAACTTTTGGTGTCAGCTTGGAGCTGCGCGCAATTGCTCCGGTGGAATTTTATGCATTATGAGTTATTACCCTCACTTAAGGCACACTATGCAACATTTTTCAGTTAATTAATGTGTTCCATAACGTTTTGGATGATTAAATGAGTCATTTCAGGTCAAACAAAGGTATTCTCGGCCGCCCTGGTGGTCTGTGGGGGAAATACCGCACTTGCAAGCTGCAGGAGCACCGACCCGCACCCACAGGCTCAGAAGTCTCGCGAGAGTCGGTCTTGCTTTACGGCGAGAACTGCTACACGCCCCCAGTTAAAAGCATGCTCGTTGCTAGCACAGTGGCGATCTTTGTGCAGTGCTGCTTTCACACCGGACGCAGCAAAAGCAGCAAAATCGCGTCTGCTGCTTCATTTTTGCTGCTTGTACCAGTTAGTTCTGACGCGCAGCTGAAGCAGCTTTGCTGCTCTGGCTGCGCGGTGGTAAAGTGTGTCTGAGGCGCGTTGGGCGGAGCTTCACTATCCTTTCTCTGCCTTGCAGCTATATTTGCTGTGATCAGTGGGAATAAAGTAGTTTTAATATGTGTTTAAGTGAGAAAATACACCTGAAAACGTAATCAGTGCCGTCAGTTCATTCAGATTATTATCCTGCCTTCAATATTTTTTCTGTCGGAGCCGCTCAGACCCCCACATACCAGCGGTGCGCCGACAGTAGGAATCTCTTCATCAGCAGCCTCTGGCCGGGTCGCCTCCTCGCGGTTCACCGCGGCAGCTGGTAGATGTTTTTCATCTAAATAATCCAAACTGCAGGCAGCAGGATAATAAAAACGAACATATTCTGCCGGCAGGTTTCTGCATTTTAAGTTAATTTAGGCGTCAATAAACTGTTTCAGAGGAGTGATTATAGCCTCTGATCATCAGCGCTGTGTCTCTCTCCCTGCCAGCTCCCAGATCAGCTTCTCTGATTGGTTGACGCGGCGCGTCGAGCAGCAAAAATTCAATTTTTCCATCTCGAGCAGCAGCGCGTTTGCGGCGCGTCAGATGCTTAGTCATTCGTTGCGTTCGCCTGTCTGCTAAGCTCAAAACAACCGCGCCTGGCTTGACGGAGAAACCAGGAGAACAGCTGTGCATATTTACGACAGTGCACTTTTACGTTCGCCCTCTGGGGGGAGCCTCGCTGGAAAATCAACACCGGTTGCATAGTATACCTTTAAGGCCTACCGGGTCGCCGGCGACCCAGTTTTAAGAGATTTATCTCAGAATTCTGGTTTAATTAAAATTATATGTCCTCCAACTGAAAATACTTATTTTTGGCTTGAAAATGTTAATTTGTACGAAAGAAGATTAGGACCCCTGGAGAAAAAAAAAAAAAAAACATTCACGTTTTTAAATATTATTTCCGTTAAATATGGGAAAAAAATAAGAATTCTTAGATTAAAGTAGGAATCTTAGAATTCTGACAGCTAACAAACATGTTAGCATCCAGCTGTAGCCATGTCTGTTTTAGAGACTAGCTCTTTTGTTTTAATGACCTTCTGCTCTTCCATTAATCAGATAGCAGCCGGAGTACCCGGAGAGAACCCACGCATGCTCAGGGAGAACATGCAAACTCCATGCAGAAAGACTCTGGGCCGGGAATCGAACCCAGAACCTTGTTGCTGCAAAGCAGCAGTGCTATCCACTGCGTCACTCAGCAGCCCCTTCTTTCCCATATTAAACTGAAATAAAATTTAAAAATCAGCTAACTTTATTTTATTTTTTGAGTGTCCCTAATAATCTTCTGTATTTATCGGAACAAGAAGTCCTTAAAGGAAAATAAAAGTAATGAGAAAATTTAAGAGATTTTAATGTTTTACAAAAGCCTCCATTTCTAATTCTTCAGTCTGTTTTAGTTTCATTTGATTATTTTTGGTGTTTTTATAATGATTTCTTTATTAACGCTTTGATTTCATTGGTTTTAGTTTGTAAAACCTGACATTTTATATCTGGTCTGTTTTACTGCAGCAAATCCTATAAAAAAGACGATGGTTGTTTTTAGCGTCTGTAAAACCAGGGTCTATTTTCAGCGGTGGATTAATCCATGTTTGAACTTGTCTGCCCGTCAGAGTTTGTTTTTCAAATGAAAAATGTTGGATGTCAGCAGCTCGTAGTCAAACCCCGGTTCTGGCCTTTTTGGTTTCTGGTTCTGGGGTCAGAAATGACTCAGTAACGGAGCAACATGTGGTGGTGAGCATGGAGGTAAAACCTGGCCCACGCTGGCCATCTGCAGACCTGGATAATCCCTGTTAGGAGATTAAACCTGCAGAGAGGAGGCAGAGCAACGTTCCGTCAACAGGTGTGAAGGAAACCCTGTTTTTGGACTCGTGAAGAAGCAGAAGGTTTGGGATGTTTGGAGGTCTGTGGTTTTCTTGTGAAGGAATGAGAAGAAGCTGCACTGAGCTGCTGTTTTCCCTCCAGATTAGGATTCTCCTCCACTGGGATGTTTTATCAGACATCTGGGAGGATTTACTGAAGCTTCAACCGGTAAAAAAATACCTCAAGAAATTCTACATTAATTCTGGAGTAAATCTTTTCTGAAAATCTATACATTTATTTTAACTTTCTCTGGAAGGATTATCAGGATTAACTGAGTTTCTGGATTAAGTCTAAAGAATCTCCTTCATTTTCAGCACTTATTTTGGGGACATTAAATGCAAAATGACCTAACGCATTTCTTTCCAAGCTTCAGAGGAAATATTTTTAATCTGATCACCAACATTGTCACGTAAAGAACTCAAAGTTTTTCTTTTTCAACGTATCCTGGATTATTTTTTGGGAGAAATTATAAAAACTATCTGGTCTTTTACGATGAAACGTTTGAGCTGTTTGCGTACGTCGGATGAAGCCGTTCACCATCTAGCCAATCACTGATCAGAATGATTTCCTATGTTGAATGTCTGGGAGGTGAGGGGGCGGGGCCTGGTGTGTCGTCACACTGCTGGAATAGGGGGCCCGATGAAGAGCAAGATGAGCTCCTTCCTCGCAAGATGGCCGTCCTCCAGCCTAAAACGGAAGGCAGCCTGAGAAGGCGCCTCCTCAGCGCCAAGATCCACCAACAACAGACCGCCATGATGGGACTGCACCCCAACAGGCCAGCATCGCCTGTTGGTGACAGAGCTCCCCCCCACTGTAACCCCTGGCTCCTCCCACCTCGACAGCACGTCCACCCTTCTCTTCCCCCAGAGGCTCGTGGGAAACTCTTCCTCTCTCTAGAATCTTGTACCAAACCCCAGATTCAAGCCCAGGTGCAGCGCCCCTCCTGCCCCGTCCTCATCCGGCGCCGCACCAGTTCCTGCCCCCCATCCCCGGAGCCTCGCCCCTGCTATGCCTTACCCGTCCCTCCCCCCATGAGTATGACAAACCCCCCAAAGGAACCAGAGGTTCCACCTCAGTATCAGTACCAGCCCACCAAGAGGCGGAAAACCAGATTCCTTTGGTTCAGACGGCGCCAGAGGAAGAGCTTGAAGGCGGACGCTTTGCCCACCACCCCCCTTCTGCAAAAAGGTACTGACTCTTACCGTTAAATGTGGCATTAATGGGTTTCTTTATTCCAAACCATTTAAAATATTCCCATAGATCTCCTGCACTCACTGCCGCCTTCTTAATTTTTGTTTTCTTATTTTAGTCTTTCTTCGTTCCAGTTTGTTCCAGAATGATTTCAGTTTATCTGATTTAATTTTGTTGCATCTGTTTTCAGAAATGAGCCTCTGCTCTCTGACCAATCACCATCTTTGTTTGCCTCAGCATTCTATGGTCATTTTTCTAGTGTGGAGTCGTTCTAGTTTGGTTTATTTCTATAGCGCCACTCACAACACATATATCAAGGCATTTTACAGTTCACCAGATCATCCAGTCAGATTGATTCAAAGTTTTCTATCTAAGGAAAACCAGATGATTGCATCGACTCATTGACTCTTCAGCAATCCCTCACACTAAGCATGCTTGTAGCGACAGTGGAGAGGAAAAACTCCCTTTGAACAGGAAGAAACCTCCAGCAGAACCAGGCTCAGTGTGAGCGGCCATCTGCTGAGGCCCACTGGGGTTCAAGGAGACAGAAGCAGACATAGAAAAAGAAGCATAGAAACAAGAAAAACTGATCTCCAACATCTAGAAACAAAGGTGTTGATGGCAGCAGCACAGCTGATATTTCTCTCCAGGATGGAGTCACAGCCAAACAGGAACAGACCAGATGAAGCTACTATGAGAAAAAGCAGAGAGAGCAGAACGTTAGAGATTGAACTAACAGATTCTGCAGGTTTAGGATAGATATAGGATGAAGCAGAATGATGAAAAAGGGGTCCCTATGTCCTCCAGCAGTGTAAGCCTATAGCAGCATAACTACAGAGATAGCTCCCACATATTGGTGTCCTGTCCAGAGGCAGTGGACTTATTAAAGCTGGGGGATTGTAGGAGTGTGGTCTCATTATCTTCCACTAGTCTGTTCATAATTTTAACCACAAACATTCGATCCAGTGGGAAAAGTATGAAGTAAAGCTTCTCTGTGTATATTATGGCCGCTGTTCACACATCTATGGTGCTGAAAACACCCGAACCCGTCCTTATCTAAGTTATTCCTCAGGAACGAGGAGCAATGGTAAGAAAGGAGTTAAGAAACGTCTGCTTTGTTGTTATGAAATGTTTTTAGTTGCTGGAAAACAGAATCTTATTCAACCTTTCAAATTAAGAGCTGTGAGCTCACTTTTGAGGAAAAAATAGAAAGAAAAAAAATTCAGAAATTCTCCATCCATTGAACAATATTTTTTTTTTTTGTATTCAGGACATCTGTAAATATGATGCTGCTGTTACTGAACAATACTGCTTTCAGAAATGGACGGTGAATGATCTGGTCCTTCTCTCTGCTCCAGAACTCTCCATAGTCAGAGCTACAAACAGCTAAAGCTAGGCTAACATTCCAAACCAATTGGAATTTTGTTTCCAAGTTTGCAGGACAAATAAATGAACACAAATAAGATGATCTCCCTTTAGTTTGATTTTTGATTCTGGTTGGATGGTCATGACTACAACACTGCAAAACGTCTCTTATTATACTTCTCTTCTCATTACCAGTTAACTGATTCTGTTCTTGTTGAAACAGGGACAGATGAGACACACGTTTCTCATGTAAACAGAGTTTCATGGGGCCCCAAGGAACTTAGGGCCCTAGGCATCTGCCCAGTATTAACTAATGATAAATCCGCCCCACAGTTAATATAATGTGAACCCAGTTAGAGCAGCTTGGGATCCAAACTGGTCACCCTGCTGCAGCATTTATTGGTTAAAGTATATTAATCTACTGGAGTTAATTTATGTTGGTCTTTGATTTCATACATAAGCAAAAACATTTTAGTTTAACTTTCTCAAATTCTGGGGTAAGCTTTATCTTTTGACCCAGAGAGAAGCAGCTAACATGACTCAGCTGTTATGACAGTTTCTGTTCCTTCAGATTAGATTACCAGATGAAAATATTATTTATAAATCCAAAAAATTGGTTTCCAAGTTGGTTTTGTGCACATCTATTTGGTTTTATTTAGTTAATTGTGGTACCTTTGTGGTCCGGCAACCAGTCTCAGCTTTTTCAGTATGTGCACGATTTTGCATCTTTGTGTATACTCTGACATAATTTGGAAAAATCTGAACAAACACTGTGGAAGTCTTGGTCCGGGCCGGGATAAGCTCATCTGGTTGGACTTGAACATAAACCAAAGACAGTTCAGTATGACTTTAGTGAGAAAAAGTTTTAATTTTCAAAAAAGTACATTTACTTTTTTTCCCCTACAAGCAAATGAAGCCAAGAGTTTCATGTTTCTTCTACTCTGAATATGAGATTCTTCCTCTCAAACATTTTTCAGAGAAGGATGAGATGGAGGAACCTAGAGTGAATAATGAGTCAATCAGCCTGCACTGAAAAAAATAATACAAATGCATTTGGTATTTGCTTTAAATGGCAAAAGACACATTGTCCAACACAGAAGAGCGGCGTCCTCGGGACAAGACTCTGCTGTCCATCTACACCTTATGGACAAAGGACATTCTTTTGAGGACCAGAATGTTCACATTTTGGACAAAGAAGACAGGAGGTTTGAGAGGGGCGTGAAATAATCTATGTTAAAGAAAAATCAACCTCAAAGTCTTAGGGAAATTATTTTTAAATATCAAATCATTCTGGCTTAAACATGCATATAAATGTAATCTTTATCAGACCATATTGTCCCAGAATTTAGAAAATTTCTATTTAAAAAAAAAAAAAATCTGTCTTAAAATATGTGGGGGGTTTTTCCGTTATCTTCTGCAGGCCAGTTAGTTCTACATCAGCCTGAACACCTAAATTCAGCCAATCATATATCAACGGTCATCTGTCAATCAAATGTTTTCGGTCATAGCATCTTGATTCATATGTCGCAGCTAATATACGCAACGGTTGAAACCAGAATCCTTTCCTTTCCCATTGAGTTGCGTCCCAGTGTTCACGGGGATGGACGTCTGTGTCTTCGGCAGGCGTAGAGCTAACAGAACTGGCAGCGTTGCGAGGCAAGGGCTCAAACATGTACGGCTGGAAGCCTTCTACACCAAACCAAGCTTCTGCCGCCCTGGCGTCCTCTTCCACAACATCTTCGTCCCCGCTTTCCTCCTCTAAATAAAAAATGGATGACGGAGGAGACTCATCCACGACCTCCGACACTAAACTCTCCTTCTCTTGCATGTTTCCGCTGTCCATAGCGTTCCTTGACAGCGTCGTTTCTAAGTCACCAATTTAGTGCTACTTGGTCCCAATGGAATTTCCCATTGGGAACCTGCTAGCACTAAGATGCTAACTGGTTAGCAAGAGACTTCAGAGAAACCGGCCACAACCAAAAAGGGTTGCAAACCTTCCACCAAAACAATCCCGCCCCCTTGATAATCGACCAATCACATTCACTTTATTCACTGGTGTAAAGTCAGGCACCACTCGGGAGAATTCGGAAATGCAACGTTTGGAACGGCCGCTTCCCTACAACTTTGAGGGGGTGACTCAGATTTCTTGCCTATTAAGACCTTTCATATGCAGCCAGGCCAACAATTCCCTCTAACGACCCCCCTTTCAGAGACATAGACAGGTATGGGGCATTGCAGGCTAACAAAGAAGCCAAACGACCCCCATTCCAAAGGGGGGGACCCGTTCATCCGTTTCTATTTGCATGTTTTCTAAACTAAAACCAGGCTTTGTTGGGCTGCTGGATAAAACTTGGAACTAAACGCTATTTCTGACATTTGGAATTGAAAAATCTTCCTGGATGGAAGAGAAACGGCATCAAACTTGGAAACAAAGTCCAGTGGATTTTTTTTTTATTTTCCTTTTTTGGAACATTTACTTTATCATATTTAGTTACTTTAACACAATTGTGTGTCCTACCCTGCTAACATGAAGCAATTGTGTTAAAGTCACTAAATACAATTAAGTAAATGCCATTATTTTTTTCAGCGTGTTTTTAAAAGGCTGAGTCTTTTCAAAAGTTGAAAGTCCAGCAGAGATTTTTAGATATGTGGCTTCTAACCATATTTTTTAACAAGGCTATTTAAGCAGAATTCTGCACTCATTATGGCTGAGAAAGAGGAAGGTTTGACCACAGAAACATTTCCTGCTCTGCGTCTAACCGATGAAACAAATAGATTCCTAAAGGGATGATTATCTGATGTGTTTTTATGCTTTTGTGTCCCGGCAGGAATTTCTCCTGCATTATTGATCAGTGTTCTCATGTCTGCTGTCCAGAGGCTCTGCTGTATAAAATATGTTTTCCTAAACATGAAGAAAGTCTTTGCTTTGCCAGTTTTTTCTTCATGTTTCAGTCAGAATATAAAATCTGGATCTCTGCTAACAGCCTCTGACTCCCAGCGTGTGAACATCTGATCAATAATGCATCACAGCTCCAGTTTGCTGTTCTTGTCAGATAACACTCTGAACATAAACACTGCGGCTCTCTCTTATCTTTTCTCCCGATGACCTCCTCTGTGAGTAATCCTCTCCAAGTGTGTATTTGTGTGCATGGATTAGCAGCAGCCTCATACGCTAAACTAAAGGCTAATTCCTGTTCCAGCAGATGAGCAGGCCGTATGGCTGCTGCAGCTGCTGCTGCTCAGCCATGTTGTCTGGCTAAAGTCTACACAAAGTAACCTGATAAATGTTTTTATTTATTTATCTAATGAAAAGGAGAATATATTCATTTATAGCACTGGGGTGTAATTTGATCAGCTGCTCTTTGTAGTTATTTATTAACTATTAACTGCCTGTAACGATCATGTGACCAGAGCTTAGATTCAGGCCGTTTCTTAATTCACAATAACGCGAGTACGGACTCTGTTCTTGAGAAGAACACTGGAAAGTCTGGACTCTGGGAGAACGGGAGCACGCAGCATAAATCTGGGTCAATTGGAACAGAAGCGTACTGATGACATCACTAAACGCTCGGCTCGTCTGGAGCTGCATTTCTCCTCCTGTTATTAATAGTCTCTACATAATAATTATGACT